CAGCTGTGCACTCAGTCTCCGCCTGCGCGCTGCTTGATTACTACAGTTTTTGAACCGCTCAGGACTTCAGAAACTCTCATGCTACAACCAATCAAAGTCTCTGTGTTTTTTTACATTAAAACATATACCAAAGTTAAAATGTAACCTAAGTTAAAATTACCTTTTGATTCCTGCAGCAGTCGAAATCATTTGATTAATTCTCTTTAGAATAAAAAAAAAATATTTTGGACAGTTTACACCAACACTGTTGCCGATGTTCCCACTTGCAGCATATTCTTGTGGTCAAACCACAACAAAGCAAGCTTTTTAAAACTAGTGTGAGTGAAATGTTTTTGGCAGCAGGAGACTGTATCTTCCAATCTGTCCTATGAAATCTCATGTATAAAATGATTTGGCCACATAATGACTCTGAAAATGAAATGATCTTGTTTTTAAATTTAGTATTTCATGCTACCAATCCCAGCTGTGGAGACATCGGTATAGTGTTGCTGCGCCTCTGTATGTATTTTATTTTAAATAACTTGTATTTTGTCTTGACCCCGACTTCGAATTATAAATATAATTGAATTTAATATTTTTGCAATATGTCATTAAATTGCAAATAATAATAAACATATTATTGAAAGCAAATCAAATTACATAGTTTATGTGTCTCAGTTCTGATTATTCTAAACAAGCTGTGTGGATTTTAAGTCTGGAGGCTGTGCTGTTCCCCCTAATGTGAGGCCTCCGTCTGATAGTTTTCTCATGTTGCTGACTGGATGAGCATCTGACTTCCCCTCCCTTCTCACAGCAATACACAGACACAACGTCCTGCAGTGCAGTATTGTCCTATGCCTCACAGGCTGTATTAATACACAAAACAGTATTCACTCAAAGGGTTTGTAAGTCATCAACACACATGAACTGCATTATCTTTCAAGGATTCATTTACTGCTGCAGGAAAGCTGTGAGTTACATGTTTGAATCCCACACAAATACAGGTTTTCTATAAAATGGACATGATTCCTCAGGTTATGGAGACCTACACTTCATTCAAAAAATACTGGACATACTGGACTTATTGTTTTTCACTGGATCTCACCTGCTGAAACTTCAATAAAAAGTAGGTGTTCTGGAACTTTTGACTGGCGGCGTTGAAGCATGCACACACGCACATGGCCGCCAGGGGTCGCTACATGACAGCACATTCCCTTGACTGCCCTTGCAGTGAGGAGCTCTCCCTCTGTGTTGGCTGCTCTACACCCGCAGACGGCTCTCATCTATATTACCAGTGTGCAGAAAAGAAAAGGCGCGGTGCTATTAGTCTAATGGCATCAAGTAAAACGGCACATGCATGTTTATGAGTGTGGCTTCTCGGACAGAGAGGAGCAGGGTGCATGCAGACTGGGAAAAGGAAGGTTTGGTGACTTTGTGTGTGACCTTTTCGGAAAGAGAGCTAATCCCGAGCTATAATAGACTCCGGGACCGATATGGAAAACTGCTGCACCGTTATCTCGGTTGTCTTGGAGACCATCAGAGCACCGGGGCCGGTGGAGATGCCACGGTATTAAAAGGGAAGAGCGTGCGTGTGCGCGTGTGTGTTGTAACATGTTTTCTGTTTTGACACAAGTGTCCCTCATCACTACTAAATAGTATCTCATGCTCGATTGTGCACGTTCAAAAAAATATACACAAAGTCTGTGCAGCATCGTTACTTTGTTCGCCATGTTGAATATATAGGCTGCAAATGCAAGTCTGAAGACACAGGAGAGGTCACTGATGAGGAAAGTGAATGGATGAGGAGGGGAGGAGGGGGTTGCATGGTCGTTAAATTAAACTGCACCGGCCTGACATCAATTATAAAATTTAGTAGGTCTTCTATGTACTAAATTATAGACTGTTAAAGTACTGTGCTCATGATAACACGGGCCTATATCACGGGAGGCCTGGGCTATAACTGCAGGGCCTGCACTGACCGAAATCACAGGAAACTCAATGAGCACGTTAGAAACTGAAGACAACACTATCAGGTTTCGATGTGTTTATTAGCAGGGAATCATTATCACATGTACAGTTACAGTATAAATGGAGCTTATCAGATTCGAACCTTTAGCTTTACTTTTATTCACTCATTGTGTTCACATATCGGGACTGTTAGGTGCCTTTGGCTCTTAACCCTATTTTAATCTTGGTTTTACTTTTTAACTATTCTTGTGTCACATATTTTGTATTTAGACGTGTTTGAATCTCCTAATCTGATTTATTAATAAAACGTATGAACATTTTTAATATCATCACATAATTTGTATTTTATTCTGTTATGATAGAGATGGCCCTAAACTATAAATATATTAAAATCCTTGGAAAACCTTCCTGACCAAGCGAAAAATGTCGGATTTGTAAAATGAGTCACTTTCTTTTTTTGTTTGTGCTATAATCATCTTCCATAATAAAAGACGTATTTCTAAAAGGTGGTCTAAATATTGAAGTAGGTGGGACGGGTGGAGCTAATCAGACAGATAGGCATCATATGACAGTGATGTGTGTTTAATATAGCATGTATTGATATGTTAAGTGTTCGCACACAGACTGGTGCATGTGGCCAGTACACGGGGCCCCTGCGCCAAACAGCCTGTATTGGACGCACCGCAGCAGCAGCGTATATAAAACGTGTAAATATTTCTCATTCCCTGCGCCTATCTGTCTCTATCAACCTGCGGGATCTCCCCCACCGCACAAATGATGCATTAGATGCATTGAATGTATTTGTTGTGCAAGTTTGAAAAGGCGGCGATAATCTGGGAGTGAGAGATAAGGAACACCAATTTATTCAGAGGCACTTTGGACCCCGCTTCCAGCCTCGGTCGGTGCTGACACCCCCAGCAGTTTGCTGATAACGATTAGGCCATTTATTATCTTCACACAGAACAAAGATTGCGTGGTGCCGATGAAATATTACCCCTGGTAATAATCAGAAGGAGAAGGGCCCTGGCATCTAATGCAGTGTGCATATAATATCTTGGCTGACGAAAAACGTGCACGGGCGCGCGTACACACACACACACACAGTCTCGTGCAGAAGATACAGAGAATTGAGCAAGAAAACAAGTGCAAAGCAGACAGAAATATAACATTAAGCTGTAGCCTACCACTGTGAATTTGATTTATTGATAGAGATAAGCTGTCAGATTTTAAATAATCACAATAGTAATAGTAATAATAATAATAAAAATACTGCATAGTTTGTTATTTTATTTTTGGGTTATTCATTTGATCATCTGCTTTAATCTGATCAATAGATTCTAACTTTAAAGACATATAGCCAAAACATTGTCATATTCGTAATTATAATCTAATGAATGACTCATGTTAAAAGGCATAAATGTGAAGTCACATTTAGGGCATTGCGTTTGCCTATTGAGCCTATTATTAAAATATTGAATAGACTATCTTCCACATGTTGCCACTTTCATCTTGTATAAATAGATAAGTATCAAAAGTCAAACTAATAATGCTGCTTTTAAAGAACAGACCACACTTCTTTCACATCCGTACAGACAATCACAACAAGGAGTGGACAAACAAAAAGAGAGATTTTTATCTTTGAAAAATCTCTTGTAGGGTTTATGAGTCACCAATATTTTAAGAAAGCATAACGCGTTCATAAAATTGGTTATTTGCTATCAAAGTTAATCTATATTTCCGTGGATGAACCTTTATGTGCCAGATATTGATATATTTTCGCTCTGGTGATTTTAAACACTAAAACAGATACTATTAATTCAGTCAGACTTCACGTTTCTTTTCTTTTCAGTTTTTTTATCCTTTTCTTTCTCTGCTTTTTTTTTGTGTGCACTCTGGGGAGCACGAGCCCGAGTTGCAGAGGTCTCTCGCGCCCCTTGCACCTGCCCGGCTCCTGAGCTGCGCATGCACGAGCCCGCAGGTCGCGTGCAGGAGATTTCAGGGGCTTTGCATGTTTTACAAAGTTGTTGCGTATCGTGGGGGTATAAAGAAAGAGAGAGAGGGAAGGAGGGAGGGAGGGAGAGAGCTGCAGTATTCTTCTTTAAAGAAGGGGGGGGTCTCAGAATAAGTCAATTAGGGCCGAGGATCACACACTTAACTAAATATCAGAAATAAACAAAAGTCAGACATTTAGAGAAAAAGAGATTCATAAACATAAAATAGATCATATAAAGTAGGGATTAGGTATATTATTATTAGAATTGTCATTATTGTCGACTGAAGGATCACTGTTATTATGTTTAAGTTGGATGGCTACACAATTGTTCCTGGTCTCCCTGTCTCTCTCCCCTCTTCCCCACTCACCACAACCGGTCGAGGCAGGTGGCCGTCCACAGGAGTCTCTTTAGCTCTCCTGTTGCCAAGTGTTTGCCCGCTGTGGTAACTTTTGGTTTGGGTTTCTTTTAAGTACTATTAGGTCTACAGCCTTGCATGTAAGGTGCCTTGAGATAATGTATGCTGTGATTTGGCACTACACAAATAAAACTGAACTGAATTACCTGTGTGCAAATGGCGCAATGATCCAGCTCTAACTTGAAATGGAAGGACAGATAATTGTTCATAATGATTGAGGAACCTATGGATCCATAATAAAATGAGCAGTTATTACTTTCTTCATCGTTTTACTGTGTGCAGAAGTCACATGTGTGTGCTACATTCTCCTTATAGCTTATCACACCCTGAGTATACACAAAATAAAATAAAATTATAACCAAAGGGAAAAAACGGTCTGCTGGTGATACTACATCTGGATGGCCTTGAAAATATAAACAAATGGAAACATAATGCTGAGGGTCTCTGTGCAGGCTCCGTATTAATCTAGACTGTATTAATCAGCTCTTGGGAGCAGGTATTGGTGCCAGATTGGGTCTATTTCAGCGGGACCCGGAAGACAGGCTGCTGGCTGACGTGCCATTACGTTGCTGTGTGGCTGCAGCCTCTCACACGGCCACACAACTTCTTTTTTCTCATATTCAGAGCTGAGGATCCAGCAGGGAGAGCAAAAGACACACACACACACACTCCGCTCTCTGGTGCTGATGACACGCACAGCAGCGACTATACACACGGGCCCTCCGGCTCCTTCACGTCGTCTCTTCTCGTCTTTAAAACGCAAGCAGCTCGTCTGGACTCCGATCAGATTCTTTTTTGTTTGTTTGGTTATTTTGGAGAGAAGCGCCGATCGAAGCTGAAGCTGGATGGAGACACCGTGTCCGGTTTGACTCTGAGAGCGCAGCCGCTCCTCTCAGGTCAGTCAATCATTGTATTTTTGCACGGTGCTTTATTCCCGAAATATGCTGCAGGAAATACTCTGATGCTTGAAAATAAAAACAATCCTGTAGGCTAACGCTCAAATATATAAGGAGTCACATTGACCCTGTATTATATTCACAATAATGTGGCAACAAAAATCAAACAAAATGTTATTTTTCTGCAACAATACATGAGCTATACTTTCGATTTATGTTAAGAAATTACTTTTACGCTTCGTTGATAAAAGCCTTTTTACCTTCATCTTCAGCTTTATAGTTCTGAACAGCGAGTGGGAAGCATGTGATCTACTGTGAATATGTATTTTGTTATATTCACCCAAACACTTACTTTTAATGCAGTTTGGGTCTATATTATTTTTTAAATGATCAAACAGTAAAAATGAGACAAAAATGAATAATCAACGCAGAAACGGATAGAAACATTGCGCCCCCACCAGATTTATAGCGTCATTGTAGGGTATTTCTAGAAATCCATGTCCTTATATAAAGCCTGAATACTACTAAATAATATTTTTTGGGGGCGCTTTATGTTGCCGTGGGCAAGGAGCTGCATTCCGGGAATAAACCCCTCGATCACGAAATGGATTAGTGTATCATCAGCCTGATATTAGTGACGACAATTGTCACGGCTTTAAAAATGCGTAATGACTGGAGCGATCCTCTTTCATCTGCAAAGAGAGCAATCACCAGGCTACAATGGTGGAGTATAGAGACGGAGACAGGGGCAGGCTGGGGTCTCCACAGGCATGCGGCTGAGCTGGAGTCATTACAGAGCACCTTTTCTTTTTTAATATACAGAAACTGGCCTCTTTCTCTCTTATACCTGCGTGTGCTGTTGTCTGCTGGAGTCTTTTATAGACTGGTTCAAATAACACTAAAGTACTGTGAGGTCTGAGAGGGTGTTGTAGCTTGAAGCTCTGAGTGCACAAAACTCATCTGTGTTTTATAAATTGACTGTGTGAACAGATTTTAACACAGATGTTGATGCATCTCTAATATTATATCAAACTCTCTCTTTCATTGTAGAACCAACAGCCTCATACTATGGATAACTTATGTATTAATTTTCAGTATTTATATAACTCCAATAGAGCTTTATGTTATGAACACAAGCATCATATATGCTCCATAATCTCTTTTGAAGACCATGTGTTACGTCCTATCCTATTCTGAAATGTTATTATTCTGAGCTCAAACTCTTTAAATGGGAGTGAGTGCTGCTGCCGTACAGCAGCGTCCAGGCCCCTCTCTCTCCCAGCAGTCATATGGTCATTGAGTCTGGGTGCTTGTGTCTATAAAGCCCCCCAGTGCCTGAGCTCGATCTAATTAGCCGTGAGTAAAGGGGACAATAATGCTTCAGCTGGTTTGTGTCATTCTCCCTCTCTCGGGCTCTGCTTATCTTCAGGAGCCCCACTGTGGCTCTTCACCCCCCCCACACACACACCCAAACACACACGCACACGCACACACACACACACACACACACACACACACACACACACACACATAACACAGTCAAGCACGCACTCACATTCACACAGTCACACAGTCACACACCTCCACTCTGGATAATGATGGATGACCATGCCCAATGGGAACAAACAGGTAGATAAAGCATATCCCATTTAATAACAGCATGGATCAGAATGATAATCTTGTTGTTCATTAGCCACTGAGGCTGCACAGCGATACAGTTGTTGCACACACACTTCCCACCCGGTGCAGGAGGTGTTGGGAGAGGGATAGTGTTCTCCAGTCTGTAGCATCCCATGGCTGAAACAATACTGCTGTGTCCTTGAGAAAAGACAGAGGCAACGCATCAGCCCCCCCCCCCTGCCCCAAACCCCTCTCCACTAACCCTCTCCCATCTTTTGTTCCAGCGCAGATACAAATGGGATTAATGAAGGTATAAATTACAGAGGTCTAAATCCTGCTGAGTAATCCATTTGGCAAACATGCAAACAACAATGGGCATGCAGCAGCAGAGTCTGAGCCTGACCCACTCTCTAAGGCCAAACGGTTAACACAGTCAGAACACAGCACAGGCACACAGGCTGACCACTGCTGCAGGCTACAGTGACATGCTGTAGTGCAAAGAGAAAAAAAGTCCTTTTACCACCAGCCTCAAGAACAAGAGCACCACTGGTCATCTACTCAGGCCTGAACAGAGGGAGTCGTTGTTGCTTCAGGTTCAAGCTTGTGTGACAGCAATTATTCTTCAGCATAAAATCACTTATTTTTATTGGACATACAAAGTCTGTATTATTGATGTCTGTGTATCATAGTAAAATATTTATGAAAAGGACAAGAAATACTATAATAATACCATATAAAGGTGAAGCTCCACCTGCCAGCTGCAGTGCTTCTTTACACTGGAATGTGAGTTATTCAGGTAGCCGGACCTCTGCTGCCCCACATGCACTAATTTGTTGATTTTAGGGGTTGACAAGCTCAAAGGGCTGAGCTCATCAACTCACTACCCCTGGCAACATGCCAGCGATTTAATGACTTATGACTGACACACAAACACGCACGCACACAGACACACACACACACACGCACGCACACACTGCAGGTATAGCAGCATATCAGAGCATGAATTGTCGCACTACAATGCACGGTGGTATAGTTATCAGGAGTCTTTTACCTTGGGGAGTTATTTGTCCAGGTATCAGAGCTTCACGTGACGGTCCGTGCAAAATGCGCACCCACCGTGACTCTATGACGTCAGAGCTCGGCGTCGGTGTGGCGGCCAGTCTCGGCTCCTAGCACCCTCCAATTATTCCCTGTCAATCACACACACACACACACACACACACACACACACACACACACACACGGAGGCAAACATGTGATTTTATCCTTACATGCAGCGAATATCAGTAATAGTAAATAATGATAAGAATTAGGTTATTGTTACATCATGTAAAAAAAAAGTGAATAAGTGCATTAGGCGTGTGTTAAGGGTTGTGATCTGTTTGATCACCAACCGGTTTTTTTAGGCCTTGCGCTCAACCCTGGTGCCACCGAGAGAGAATGTGGCGCCATTAGTATGCAAACTGTGTTTGGTTGGTCTGTCTCCGAGACAAAACCTCTGTTTTCACAAGAATGCCCCAATACTAATTAAAGACAATTAGGTCCCCGCAACAAAGGGACCAAATTCGGGTCGTAAAGCGGCTCCTCCTCTGTTGGTTTTAGAGGTGCTGAAAACCCTGTTTATTTACATAACAGCATGCGAAAAACAACACTTACAATTATTGATGGTAATGCAAGGCTACATCAGCAACTTGACTTGTTATGAGGCGGAGTGAGATGAAAATGAAGTCTTTAACATCCTCTGAAATAAGTTTAAATTCGTACATACAAGTGGAGGCAAGACACCACAGAAGTATCCTACATTTCTAATTCATAATAGTAAGACATGTATTGTGCAAAATGATTTTGCCTCCATGTTTAGTGTCTGCCTCTATGCTCAGAACTGGAGCTTTAAAAACAGATCGTCAGGGGCCGATTGTTGATCTTAATGAGAGAGAAAGACCCCCAGAGAAATGACTGCTGATTGATAAGTCTTTCAGTATTTCGGTGCAGGGAAATGGAAATTTAAAGGAGAGCAGGGATGCAGCGAGCCAATTGTGGCAGAAGCTGGCCGTGATTGGCTCCGAGCAAAGGCCCCGCCCCCGCATGGCTTAATATGGGAATTTACTGGCGCCAGCCGCGCCAGTCTGCTCCACATCTCATTAATGAGCCCGAGCAGAGCACGGATCAGGAGGTTTACACATCCGAGCTGTGTCCGCCGTCAGCTGATCGAGACTGCAACAGGTATCCAGAGGACATGTCGCCTTTCTCCTTTACGCAATGCCTCCTCTCAGTCAGCTGTCCACAGAAGGACACTGAAGTGTGCAAAGTTAATTTCTAGAGTTCACAGCTATGATTAGACAGCGATGCTCAGTCTCTGCGTGGAAGAAGAGCTGGAGTGTCCATCGTTTGAATGAATTAACATTTTGTTTTCGTCTCATTGCAGGTATCCACCCCTGAGGAGAAACAAGAAGACCGGGTTATTAAAGGATTTTATTTCTTCAGTAAATAAACACAGCCGAGACCCCCACAGCTCGGGAACTATATTGTCAGGAGGATCTAACTTCCATTTTGGAGGCAAGAGTGTGTAGAGTAGCCCGGCGCACAGACAGACGCGTTCAGAGGAGAAGGAGACGACCAGCTCAGCCATGGAGGTCGCAGCGGCCGATCAGTCTCGGTGGATGGCGCACCATCACGCTGTGCTGAATAGCCAGCACCCGGACTCTCACCACCACAGCCTGAGCCACAACTACATGGAGCCCATGGCGCCTTTGCTGCCCCAGGACGAGGTGGACATGTTTCTGAACCACTTGGACTCTCAGGGGAACCCTTACTACACCAACTCCCGAGCAAGGGTCACCTACAGCCAAGCGCACGGTAAGATGCGCACTGTCAAGTTCAGCTAAGAAAAAAATGATTAAAAGGAACAAAGCCTGTTTTGTTGAGACGTTCAAAGTTTTTACATAATTCACGTCCAAACAGAGCTTGTATTATATGTGTGAGTCTGCTTATGTAATGGGTCTATTTAGAAGCTTAACAATTCAGTGATTTGCTTAAAATTTTTCCTCTTGACATCTCTGGGCCAATTCTGCAACATAAAGGGATTTATAGCAAATGACAGCGAGGGGAAAGGGAAGTATGTCATTTAACCCCTCTGTGCTGGGGCAGGGGCTGTGGAGGGAGAGAGACAGGGAGAGAGAGACACTTCCCGGATATAAAATTAAAACCGCAAATTTACTAGTCCGAGCTGCAGCCGATGAAAAGATACTGTCCTGAGAGGGAGCTGCGTTTACTGGGTTTTTCTGAAGCCAGCAGGCCTTTATCGCCTCTATCTTAAATAGATGAAATGACTATGGCTTTTGGTAGATAACGTGAAATATTTTAGATAATTGTGAGGAAAATATTTTATTTGAAATTAGCTACCAGAGCTTTGTTGAAACTAAATGTCGGACTTGAGTAATTTTGAGTACTTGTCAGGTAAGATCGTTCTGTTATGCTTTGCAAAGTAATGGAAAGGGGGTTTAAAAAATCAAACGTGTATTAAATAGATTACTTTAAATTTCAGCTCGTCTCGCTGGGAACCAGGTTTGCCGACCACACCTCATTCACAGTCCCGGGATTCCCTGGCTGGACCCCGGCAAAGCTGCCCTGTCCGCTGCGCACCACCACAACGCATGGGCGGTCAGTCACTTCAGCAAACCCGGCCTTCACCCCACCGGCTCCGGCTACCCCTGCAGCAGCAACACCGGCACGGCTCCCGTGTCGTCGCTAACTCCGGCGTCCCACTCTAGCCCGCACCTCTACAGTTTCCCCCCGACCCCTCCGAAAGACGTGTCGCCGGACCCCGGCCCCACCTCCCCGACCTCAACTTCGACCAGGATGGACGAGAAGGAGTCGATCAAGTCTTACCAGGTGCCGCTGACGGACGGCATGAAAATGGAGAGCTGTAGTCCGCTGCGCAGCGGCCTGGCCTCGATGAACAGCCAGGCCACGCATCACCCCATCCCGACCTATCCGGCCTACTCTCTGCCGACACCACACGAGTACAGCGGCAGCCTCTTCCACCCCGGCAGCCTGCTCGGCGGGTCCAGCTTCACGCCCAAGTGCAAAAGCAAAGCCAGATCGAGCTCAGGTGAGTCTCACGTGGGTTTGGGTCTGTGCATGATGAAAGATTGAAGTGATAACGTCTAACAAAATTATAATTATTTTTTCAAATGAGCCTTGATGGTTAAATTAATGTCAGAGTTAAATAACCCGCTTTTATGGTGCACTCTAATATAAATGTGTGGGTATTGTCATATAGAAATGTACCAAAGTATTTGTTTTAAATATGTGTTGGCTCTATCTTTTACTATTATAGTATCTAATAGTCTGTTACTTATAAAACGAGCGCTGGTTTCCACGGGGGACACTTCTACCCTGTGAAAACCGGCCTGGACTCGTCTTATCTGACGAGCCTGTTCACCTTAGAGAGAGAAACCAACCATAGGTGAAACTCATCGGACTAATCGGGGTCAACTATTTACTAAATGTCCAGTTAAGGTCAGTGTGCGCGTGATGGAGCGGTTTTAAGAGCAGGGCCGTTGACTTGAGAGAAAAGAAAACGGGATCACAATTAAAGTAACTACGATTTCATAAAGATGAAAAAAATATATTATTCAGGGACTAAAAACTGAAAGGAAAAACTTAGTAAAGTCATCCAAAGAACTTTACATGAACTTATTTTATGACACTGACTTCTTCTGACAGTCAGATGTTATGGCCCTTTTTTTATGTGGTATTCACGGCACTTAAAAAAAATACTTTAAAAAGTAGCCAGTCACGACGTCCTGGCTCCTGCCATATCCTGTATACCTCCAAGTGAACAAATCACGACCTCCACCCCGCCCACCCGCTCTCCCCAGTACTAACAAAGCACAGGCGACAGAGCCCTGCTGTTTGTGTTTTTAAGCATGGCCTAGGCCCAGCAGCACTGACACAAAGTGGAGGCAACCAGAGTCCACACAGGATCTGCTGCTATGTGTATAGATGGGAGCGTATTTAATAACACTGTCACTAGAGGTCTGCAGACTGCAGTGTATTGGGTAATCCTGATTAAACATGCACTGCACAGTCAGTCTTCCTCTTACCTAAAATCCTCAAAGCCAGTGGGATTGTTTATAATGAAACGGGGCCTATTTTCTGACTGTCTGGACAAGCACCTGATTCAATATTCTGCATGTGTAGGGAGGAATATTTAGACTTTATGTCTGATATTAATGTGCAGACATTTGAAAAACAACTCAGTCTGGTAATGGCTCTGTAATTTCCCCACATTGTTCCAGCTGTTAAGACATGTTGCTCTTAATGTAGTTGGGTATTTATCAATATTTGTCATCCATTGTCCCAGTGCTTTTTAATACACCTGGCCAATACTTGCTGGCAGATAGTGAGCAAATGTGAGCTGTAGAGAAATGTTATACTGTGACATTTAAAAGAAGTTGGCCCGACTATGCCTGAATCAGTAACACAAACATATCAGCCACGGCATTAAAAAGGCTCTTATCTATCAAAGTCTCTGTCCAGTGCCAGTAATGGTGATTGACTGTTGTACAAAATGCCACAATGACATTTCAGCTGTCAGCACGTACACCTTCAGCTTCCTGCTGAGCGAGCCTCAGACCAGAACACCCCTCCTCCTCTTTCTCTCTACTCTAACTTTTCTCATGAAGCTTTCATCTTCCCATTTTGTTTCTTATTTCAACACTATTGCACAAGACATAATACACCAGTCACTGATGATGAATATTTAAAGTGTTAATGATCCCACTTTAATGTGGCTGTTGCTGTTACGAAATACTTATGAGGAAGAAAGGGTAGGTACAATAAAAGAAGAAAAAGAAAAAGCGGAGAGATGCATTTCAAAAGGAACATAGCTTTTTAGCTCAGGTCAGATTCCATTGTGGAGTGAGGGTGGGACTTTGGGTGTCGCTCGCATTATGACAGGAATAATGAGGGGATGCTCTAGGGAGAGAGGGATACTTGAATTAAAATAACTGGTTGGTTTAGCAACAGGCTGTTTGAAGTCCAACCTGTACGGGAGAGAGACTAAAAAAGCAGGTTTCTCTGTAAAGGTATGCATAGGTATCTACAGTTTAAGATAAATGCAAACGTTCCCATTATAATCTAGAATTTCAACTGGCATCAAGCGTCTCACCACAGGCTGCAACACTGCCCGCCACATTTAATACCACCACCGCCGCACACTTATGTTTCCTCTCATGGGTGCCCACTGATCTGATGAATAATGTAGTCCTAATTTGATGGTGTGCCTCATTCTTCTTGTCGGACACCTCTGGACATGTTCTGGCTGTCTCTGGCCTCCCTATTCTGGATCGGTTTACATAGAGGTGTCTGTGTCCATGGCAGCCATGTGCACACTTGGTACACCAACAAGCTCACCTTTACGTTGTCACCATCACGGGCCAGATTTTGACTTCATATTACAGAGCCATCTAGGGTCATACAAGTCGCCCGATTGGGGCTGGACAGCTGCTGTATGGTGCCTCTGGCAGATGGTGAACTTTTTAATTATATAAATTTCTTCCTCTCTCCTCTTGAACTTTATGCAGAGGGCCGGGAATGTGTAAACTGCGGTGCCACCTCAACCCCTCTTTGGCGACGGGACGGTACCGGCCACTACCTGTGCAACGCCTGCGGACTGTATCACAAGATGAACGGCCAGAACCGACCCCTCATCAAGCCCAAACGCAGACTGGTGAGTTCTCACTCTGTCTTTCTACTATGAGAGCAGTCACCCAAATATGAGCACAAAGCAGATGCCGGCAGCACAATTCCAGGAAAGTTATATTTTCCCTATGATCTTCCTGGAATTGTTTGTCCCTCTCACCCCCTGACGATCCGCCTTCATGGCCTGTTACAATACTGCTACTATTGCCATTGTTCCTGCTATCATTATTGCTGGTACTTCTGATACTGTTACTGATACCAATGCCCATGCTGCTTTAGTTAACACCACGCTCGAGTAAATGAAAGGCACCATGGACACACAACACTGTTGATGTACCCCTGCTCTGAGGTGCACACACACTTTAGGACTCAACCATATACTGACGCTGGAAATATCTCCAGGTGGCATAATTTATTTATCCATGTATTCTAATTATATCTATCTTTCC